TCTCTATACATCACTAATTGATAGTAACCTATAGAGAACTGTGGGCGTGTCTGACACGTCCTAACCTTAATTTTACCTTTCCTTACAATGGAACTTTGTAAGATTCCGTTATTTTTTAGAAAGTAAAATGAATTACTTAGTGTTATCTGTCATTGGTGTCTGGTTTTCTTGTGTGAAACTGTAGCAATATTATTTATATATGTCTATATATATTTATATATGTCTATTACACATATTCCACTAACGTTAGTAAATAATATGACATTTCTTCATTGACATTATATCCATGAATATTCTATATTATTAACATAGTACCATTTATATATGATTAATATGCTCATAGTAAGTTATAAGTAGGATATTGTGTGTGTGTGCTGTATGTAAATTCACTTGAAATAAATCACAGCATACTTTACTGTAAGACCTGTGTGTGCATCCTGGAGAAATGTTTACATAAGTCGCACTCTTTAGTTCAGGCTTGAATGAATAGAGTTACAGAGAGAAACATTTTGTGTCTGTCTTTGCATTCTAATGCAAAATGGAGTCACCTCTGTTCTGATAGTGACTTACAGTGTACACTTTTAATTTCTGTCCTAACACAAAATGTCTGCCAGTATAAATATAATGACAGTGTATATATGTACAGTGCAAGATGTATGTGTAAGAATGTAAATAAAAAATGTTATATACATTTTGGTGTGTGTGTGTGCAAAGACTTTGTAATAGTAAAAAGTATATAATTTACTACTTAATACTTTTAACTTTATTTTTGAAAATGGGGGAAGTATAATTCACTGCTACATTCCAATAATTTATTACATAAGCAGAGCTTTAAGCAACTTGGCAATTAATGAAGTAACTTGATTACATTTGCTAATTTAAACAGATGTAATAAAGTGAACTTTGCTGTAGTTTTCGTTTGCTCAAAACATGTTCCATCTTGTAAACTACAATTGGTGTCAAAAAGGTGTGGCAACATTCCTTATTTTAACACTTGTATGAGAACAAACCATTCACTTGTGAGAACAAAGGTTTTGTGGGTGGTACAAGTCATAACAATGTAATGTATTGCAAAATAATCAATTGAAGAACAGGTGGACCACAAGAACATTTTCATTACATGTTTTATGGTTAATTAATTACGAGAGGGACAATCTGTATCATCTACCAAGCTGGGAAAAGGTCAAAAGTTATCTGAAAACTTACTGTGTTCCAAATGTCTACTGGAAAACAACAAAACCTCTGTTCTATCTTGAAGAGAAAATGGAGATGGGATATTGGAGGTGTGATAATTTTCTATCCTGTTTTAAGATTTTTTTTTTAGATTAAAACCTTTATTATGCGGAAACATTAATGCTGTTAACAACAAATATTTGTTACTCTACAACTTTAAAAGTAATGATTACCCTACTTTTGATGTTTCTGAAGCAGTGACAATGTCAGATAATGTTTCAAAAAGAATAAATATAACATTGCCTACAAATAACTGCATTTGTAAAATGAAATAAACTGTAGGTAGTTGGTACAAGACAGTTGCTAGCGAATACATTCATAATGGTTCAGCCCTCATGGTTTAAGGGAAGTTTTCCCAAATCCTCAGAGTTGCAGTAACTGCGAACTGCATTTCTGTTCCCCATGATCAGAAATGAGCAGTCTCCTTGTTCCATGGCCATAATTCATATATAATCTGAACTGATACCATCTTTCATTACTCAGCAGAGCAATGAGAGGAAGCATTCAAAGCACAACCTCTACTCTCTTGCTCCATGTTGTCTTGCATTTAATAAACATTCTTCCAAGGTAAATGAAGGTGGAGAGGCAAAACAGGTCCAGTACAATGATCAATCTCTAAGTTTTGCTTTAGATATTTATTGTGATTGTATGAAAAATGAAAAAGAGTAATTGAGAAAATACTGTATGTGATCTTAGTATGCTTTTCTAACATGTTATCAGTGATACTGAGATAGGGTTAGTAAACAATAAAATGTTTCACTCTATTGAAATGTTCAGTATTGATCTCTGAGCTTCATTTTCGAGCTGATCAATATTCAGTCTCCATTCTTTAGTAAATCTTTCCAGTTTTGTGGCTAACATGGTGTGTTCTTATTGATACTGGTGACAGTTTCATTCACCTTTAAAAAGGAACAATTTACAGTAAAGGTAATGTTATTTTTTGGCTATTATAATGAAATTCTTAGATTTTTGGTGCAGGACCAAAATTTCTACCCAGTGAACACATTACGATTTAAAATAGCCCTAAACCTTAATGTCTGTGATATAGCTTAGTTATTTTGTTAACTTGAAATGTATCTTAATCTACAGCCGCACAAAATAAATATATATACAAATATCCTGTGCAGGGTATACTATTACTAGATTCCTTTAATACACCTCTTTTGAACCTGGCTGCATTAACTGTAATTGAACAAATAGAAAATTGTGAATAGAAATAAATAAAAACTAAACAAAAATGTTTAGAGGAATATAAATAAATAGAATGAAACCAAAGTTTTAGTTTTTTTGTTCTATATTTTCAAATTATGTTTTATTGTGATTAGTGTCTAGTTTACCTTCTTTATTAAGTGTCTTATTTACATATGGCAATAATCTAATGAATATATTACAAACAAATGAATCATGCTGAACGGGTATAGCTTAGCATTATACCTCATTAACCATGAACATATATATGTTTTTAATACCAGTAAAAAAAGAAAAAAAGCAAATTGTTCATTCTTAACTTGTTTCCATCTATAATATTAAACAAAAACGATTGTGTGTGTTTATATATAAATTCATGGCTACAGGCAAAGTATATATAAACATGAAAAAGAGCATATGCAATTTATCTACTAAAGACATATGATTGCAAAACATATATACAAGACAATTTTTTTTGATGGTCCAAGCACAGTCTTACTCTAAAATATACATAATGGTAATTTAGTATGCACATAAAAAAATTAAAGCTTACATACAGACTGCAAATTAAGTATGTATTCTTTTAGTATACAGATTGTTTTTGCATTCCTAGCCAAAAGTAAATAATTAAAAGAGGTAGGATAGTTAGACCAGCACCATTTGATACTAAAGGAAAACTGTCACAATTTATTATTATTATTATACACGTAAAATGGTCTTTGTGTGTATCATTTTGTACACATAAGTAATACCTATTCTTAGTGCTTCTGTTTTTTTCTATACCTAAATCGGGCAGCTATATTTAGCACTCTTTGTTCAGAAGAACCTCTTAATCATCTAGGGACAATATGCTTCTTTGAGAGTTGTGCTAATCACAAATCCTAAAGTCATTTGGAAATGCAATGCATCTCAAGAACATGGTCTCAATCGGTTTAATTTGGCCTAATTGCATGTGGTCTTGGCAAGTGTTTGACCAAAGAGAAATATGATGCTGCTTCCACAAAGTAAGGGTAAGCCAGGTTATCCACTGCAAAGAGGTATAAATGTATATGTATATGTTACAAAATAATACACAAGAAGGATAAGTTACTTTACAAAATTATATCAACTTTATATCAAATATACCTTACCAAATGTAACATAATTGTGAATAAGAGACAGACATAGGTATATTTAGTTAGTTAACATTTCCATTATCAATACAATTGGATTAAATGGAATAGAAATACATAGTGGTATAAGAATGCTTACAATAGTATCACAGTAAAACAGGTGTAAATTGACTGTTCAGTTTAATCCAATTGTATTGATAATGGAAATGTTAACTAACTAAATATACCTATGTCTGTCTGTACCACGCAAAGTTGACAAATAAAAAAGTTATTTAAAAATAAAAATTGTGAATAAGAGAATTGGCTCAATTTTAGAAGAATTAAAATGTCAAACAGATATATGTATTAAAAGGACCCTGCTTTAACCCCTTAAGGACACATGAAATGTGTGACATGTCATGATTCCCTTTTATTCCAGAAGTTTGGTCCTTAAGGGGTTAAATAAACAAATATGTTCCCTTGGAATTCAATGAAAATTTGAAGTTATGTTGACCAAAACTTAAAACAAAAATTAAAATCCTCTTTAAGCAAAGACTAAATAAAAAGTAAATGATCCATATCAAACACATATTATCATCTTCAATAATTCAACTGAATCAAGATTTTTAAGATTGCCAAAAAAAAGTCAATTTGTAGATTAGAAAATTACAAAACATCTAAATATTTCTAAATCAGATCTGTAACAATGCAACCATAGCTATATCAACAGGTAATTTTATTGGGAATCTTACTTGGTACAGATATATTATGAAAACCTGTATAACTACCTATCTAACCTTTGGGGCTCGGGTACATGCAGGTCCATCCATAAATATTGACAAAAACTACTAACTAAAATGGACTACCATATAATTTACTACCCTCCACTCCGAAGCCAAGTTCGTAAAGAATAGGTATTTTGATGGCCCTTACCTATTAACATTATTTTCCATCTATATAGTAGATGGAGGAAAATAAATGGCTATTCTTTGATCCATTTAATAATGGAAGTCTTGGGCATGCCTACTTACCCCTTTTTTGGGGCGGATGATGAGGTGGTTCTTGACCTTGGTTAACTAGGGTTTTTTTATACCCCTATAAAAATACACATAATTTGTTTGAAGTTTAGGAGTGCTATGTGCTCATTAGCTAAGGCCATCAGTTTATCAATTAGTATTTAATTTATGTTTCTGTGATATTGCTTTTGCTACAGCAGAATCATTTTGTGGGAAAAGAGAAATATGGCATGGAAAATGTTAGTGTGTTTTTGCTCACATTGCTGCTAATTCTCCCACATGTAGGCTAGTAGAATGCCTTGGTAAAATAGACAAGTGAATGGATTGCCATTCAAAAAATGTACTGCTTGTTTTAGCATCAAAAGTTAAATATCTTTGACAGGTCATGTGACTTTAGGAGCCATTATTCTCATGCAAAGGTGTTTATTAATCCAGCTGTATTTAAAAACGTGTTATAGTTAATACAGTATAAAAGTGGGCAGTTCTGTCATGTTTAATATTTCCAATATACAGTATTAACTATTCTTATTGCTTTGAGAGAATGGTTAATCAATTGATGGTCATTCTAAAGTTCATTACACATTTTAAAAGTACCTGTGATACTGCGATTTTCACTTGGCTTAGTTATTGCTCAGAATAGTAATACCCCATTGTGGTTACAATTTAAGAATTCATACGCTAGAAAAGCAAGAAAGTCTTGGAAAGATAGAAAGCTGAAGTCCAGTGCATTAATATTATGGTATCTAACCGGATGTGCAGCAGCAGGTATTTTTGCTTACACGCTAGCACAAAATACCTATCATGTAAGAGAGTGTCAGGGTATCTATTACTACTAATAAAAAATAAAAAGATACTTTTGTTGGTTTAACAGACGGAAGAAGTACAGATTCAATAACTTTTGGGTTCTAAAACTATAGGTTATAATAAATAATATAATGATCTACGTGTTGTTAATCAAGTTGTAAATTAGTAGTAACATGTTTGTTTCTAAGCCAGTATGAATCTGTAAGTTATCGGGAAAACTCCAAAGTCGTTTCATAATTATATATGTAATAAAAGAACATCCTTCAGAAAGTTCTCGCAAATCGACATTTTGTAATGCTTTTCCGGTTAGCTGGTTGCATAAAAATGAACTTGTGGTTTATCCATTCAGATGTCAGAAACAGTATCCTAAAAATGAAGAAAGCAATTTAAACAACTCATAACCAAGAGAAAATACACGGTATCAGTTTTTTTTATCGATATTATTTTTGAATTACGGTGGCCAGTAAAATATGTGCAATATATTTAAATTAAAAATATACTTGTGTTTTTAAACTTTAATAATTATACATATTTAGACATTGGGGGTACATGTATAGATATTGGTGAATATATGCTAGACAACAATGTTTATGATGTATTTGCCATTGAGTACTGATGATAATGTAATGCTATGTACTTGTGCCTCAGTTTGAAAAATAAGGTCAATAGAGATGAAAGTTTTAACTGAAGAAAAAAAATTAATTTTCAGACAATATTGCCAAAGCTGTCAAAAAAGAAATGTTTTGGAACTATTGTTGTGAACATGGAATATCTTACTGATTTTTATGAGCCAATATAAAATGAGTACATCTCTAAACTTTAAACTGTATCCAATTTAAAAAAAAACGCTTTTTACATCTTCAGCTATTTTTCACCTACCATTATCTGTGGCTGCATTAATTAATTAATTACCAGCTGGTTTGCCAATTCTCTGTCATTGGCTTATTTTGTAAATTGTTTCTTAATCAATAAAACAAGTAGCAGAGAGCTGATTGCGATGCCTGTACCTTACTATAATAGTATAAATTATATGTACTAATATATACCTCACAGACTTGCATCCTTAATTACAATGCTGAGACCAAAGTGATGTAAAATTCATAGAAATTTGAAAATTGTAAGTTTGTGTGGGCAGAGCCCTCTTCACCTACTATTCCATATGTCAAAATGTTTGTTAGAATTGTTTGTCTTGTTTTATCTATTGGATTGCATTGTGGAATATATTAGTCTACATAAATAATTATAAATTCAGCACAATCAGCTTTAAATTAGCTTATTTAAAGTCACCTGAGTTAGGTAAATATATTGGGGATTTAAGAAGAGTATATGATCATACATGACATAAGCCTGCCACTTTTTACAGAGAACCACATATATATTTCTAAGATAAATTAAAATTAGAACAATTTGATAGCTATCTTCTCCAAGGCACCTATCTTACTCTACTAGTACTAATGGTGGTCATATCACGATTTACATAATTGTACCAGAAAATGTTCGCTCTTTGGCTGTTAATAGAAAATGAAAATTGATACGCAGTGGGAGAATTAAAGGAACACTCAAGGCACTATAACCATTTCTTCTCGCTGATTGGTTAAAGTGCTTTGATTCCCCTGGCACTGTATCTCCATGTCATTTTTTGAGCAGTTTGTCATTGAATGAGAGGTATATCAACGGCAGAAGTTACACACTCCCTTCCGTGCATACCAATTTAGATTATTAATGGGTTCTGTAATAGGCTTAAAGTGGTCAGCTGACACTCAACCAATCACCGGTGCCCATTGCTGGTCATGCTACTGCTTTCTCATTAGCCAAAGCAGTACAGTGGGGATGAGCTGCTGGGGACTCCAAACACTATAACCACTTCAATTATTGATAATGGCAAATATATAGAGCCAAATTATTCTGCAGCGCTTTACAATATGATCTTCAATGAAATTTAACAGTTATAGTGTCTACAGTGTCAATTTAAGCCCATTTACCCATCTTTAATAAAATGGCCTGTAGGTGCAGAGTAGAATAATTGTTTTTCTTTGTATACATGTCTTGTTTGTGTGCTTGTTGTGTTATATTTGTATACTGCATGACTTTTACCCCAATGACTTTGTACCACTTTTTAGTGGTCTAAATAGACTACACAATCATGATTTTTATATCTTAGCAGTAAGAGAATGACTGCTTGACTTTATTAACTTACATTGACATTTCGATTTTTGATGCTGCTATTCTTTTCATCTGAATAGAATCCTGTTTCCTTCTCCTGTTTAGTGGAATGAAACAAATAACAATTAAACAATTATATATAATTATGTCATTTTAGAGGACGTACTATAAATAACCATTAATTAGTTTTTACCTTAACCTCGGCTTCTTTTTCTTTAGCTAAGCTGTCCAGGTTCCTCTTTACAAGCACATGTAACACGGCATCATGAACAGAAAGAAAAATTATGGAGGTTTGTATTGTGTCATCAAAAAAGCCACAACGTTCAAGTTTATCCAAAAGGTTATCTAAGAAATAGAAAAACATGAATGAAAGGTCAATTAGACTACTATGTATTAGAATTTATTTTCTTAACCCTTAGTGGAAAATCAAATGACCATTTCCATCTCCTTCTCTGAACCAGAAAGCTGTTGTGTGTTAATATGTTTGTTCATGAAAATAGTAATTCATTTAATTGCTCCAAACATACGTTATGTGTAACTTTAAAATTATCTATGATTTCCTGATGGTAGATTTTATCAAATGTATACAGTATTATGATCCAGTTTGTGGTCTGCCCATTACATTGTTCTTATTGATATTGGGCTTCCACATACACATTTTAAAAGCAATCTAGATTTCTTATGTTCTAGTATTCTTATTAAACCTCAAAATGGATTCCAGTATTTCTACCACATCAATAAAGAGAACTACGCCTATTCATTTAGTGCGTTGCAGACTTTAGGAAGAACTCTCTGAAACTGAATAGAATATTGATGATCAAAGAAAACATCCATTACAAGCCTTTTCTTCACTCTAGTATAAATGTCCTTGCATTTTAGGGAAATCCTCATAATGTTTGTGATTTATTAAAACCAAACCATGACCCATCTGTCCTTAGCATTATTTTCAACATGTTACTACTTTGAAAGATGTAAAAGTAATTACCTTCCATAGCTTAAAGGGTTACTCTATAATCTATGACTACCTCTGCTTTTAGAAATGGTCATGAAGCAAGCAATATCTACATGCAGCCTTTCAACTTGAAGCACTGCCTGTACACAGAAATATTTGCTTTTGTGCCAGGGTGTAGTTGCACCCATGGCACACGTGACTTAGGCAGCCCGGAACTCTGACCAGGACTGCCTAATGTGAGTACCGTGCAAAACGTACATCAGTCGTCTGCATGCATTGTGTGCAGGTGACAAATAAAATGAACTTCTGCAATTGCAGGCAGTGCTGTGTGCATGCCTTCATTGAGTAGCCTTAATAGAATATTGTCCCCTTTCTCCCTGTCTCCCTACATTGCATTGTAAAGTCCAGACCTACCTTCTGTGCATTTCTTCCTCTCCTTTACGAATTAGGC